GGCAGGCAGGGCCAGTGTGGCCTGGTCACCTTAGGCTGGAGGTACCCTCCAGGGGGTGTGGGTTGACCCTGGAGAGCCAGACCAACCAAGCCTGTTGCCATGGCTCTAGGCTGCAGTCGTCCTTGGCTATGCTGGACACCACCCCTGTAGTGTCCCCGGCTGGGCCTCACCTGGCCTGAGCCTCCCTCACCACGCGGCCAGCCTTTATCCTCTCTGTGAATGTTCTTCACAAGCTGAAGTGACTACGGGGTCCAGCCACACCGCTCTCTGTGTGCGCCCAACCATCCATCTGTCCTCATCCCTGTTGCCGCTGGGCCGGTGATGGGCCACCCAAATGTGCCACACACCGGGACACACCAGCCCTGGTTTCTCTTCTGGCTGCCCACGGCACCAGCTGCCCACGACACTCCTCACAGAGGGCCACCTGCCTGCCCACAGGCAGAGGTCCCTGCAGGGTGGAGAACAGGGACAGTGGGGACCCTGAAGGAGCTGTGCCCCAAGTTGGGGTGGAGGGAGGCAGGCATTTCCCACTTTTGGACTGTTTTTCCCCCAGAGCTGGGTGCCTGGTCTCATGCCAGGCAGGGCAGGCAGCCACAGCAGGGGTTCATGCAGCCCCCCAAGGAGAGGATGGTGCGATGGCCCCATGACTTCCAGAAGAAGGTCTAGCGGGGGTGGGAGGGTTGTCTGCCCCAACAGAAAAGCAGACTCCTGTCCAGGGGGGACCCTCAATGCGCTGAACTGTGGCCAATGTTGTGGGGTGGCCGAGGGCTGAGGGTGATTGTTCTGTTGTACATGGGGTCCCTTGAACGGGAACCACCCCTAACAATAGCAGTCGCTTCTCATAAACGGGGGGGGGCAAATGGGTGCCCGCCCTTCTCTGACTGCCCCCCCCTTCAGTCACAGTGGTGGTGGGGCCACCCCCCAAATCCCAGAGTCAGAGGCCTGATCTCCAAAGCAGTCCCAGGCTCCTAGGAGAGGCAATGGGGGAAAGCCTGACTTCCTCCGTGAGCGCCCCCAATGGGGGCCCCACCCTCCCACCCCCAAGGCTGGGCGGGAGCACCACCCCCAATGCTGGGCGGGAGCAGTGGGGGCATTGCCTTAGCAAGTCCGCAGTCCTGCTGCCCCGCTCCTGCCCAGAAGCCCCGAGGACCATGTAGGGGCACAACTGAGGGCAGCCTTAGAGAAGGGAGCGCTCAGGACCCACGGGAAGCCCCCTCGCTCCCCGCCCCCTAGGCGCTGGGCTCCGCCCCGCCCATTCGCCCCGCCCACTTGCCCCGCCCCGCTCCACCGCCTCCCCGCAGCTCCAGTGCCCCGGGAGCTCCCGCGTGGACACTAGCCCTGGGGACGGGGGACAGGGGACAGGGCTTTGCAGTCAGGTAAGACCCCTCCCCCTCCGCTCCCTGGCGTCCTCCTCCCTAGCCATCACCAGGTCCCAGAGCCTTTTCTCTGGGGTCTCCTGCACCGCCCCAGTGGCGACCGGGAGCGCATCTCCTGTGCCCGGCATCCCTCCCCTTTGGTACCCCCAGGTTAGGGCGCACCTTCACGTCCTGGTGTCCTCGAGCCCTCCCCCAACCCCTCACCCCCGCCCTCAGCCTGCCTCAGGAACTGTGCGCTGCCCCTGCACCCCAGGAGGGGTGGAGGAGCAAGCGGCAAGGGGCGGACAGCTTGTTCAGCCATCCCTCCCCACCAAGCCTCTCCTATGCCCCAGGGCTCTGAGATGCGGGCGTCGCTGGGCAGGGCTGGAGGGCAGGCTGTGGGAACCGAGCTCTAGGGGATACTTGGGGGCCGGTCCTCAGAGCAGGAGGTGAGCAGACTGGGGGTCCTCCTGACTTGTCCCTGGCCCTGCACCAGGAGTCGCCCCACCCTTGGGCACCAACCCCTTCTGGACCTTTGGGAACTGGTGCTTCATGTCCCCACCCCTCACCTGGAGTACCGTTATCTGCTTGGGGACAGAGGCCTTGGTTCCCTTCCCCCCTCCCCCCCACAAAGGGCACGCCAAGAGTGGGTCCTGCCCAGGTGGAGTCACCTGGGGGGTAGGGTGCTGAGCCGAAGTGGGGCTTTGGTCCATGGAACCCCTGACAGTGGTGGTATACTTGGACCCCCGAGGCTGGCATGGTTCCGTCATAGATGGAGGCCTGGGGATGGGGGTGGGGGCTCTGACCCGGGACTCATGGGAGAGCAGGGCCTTGCCCAGGGCCACGTGGCCAGCAGGCTGGGCGTCATTTCAGGTGAGGGTTCATAGATACCCCCTCCAATGATCCCCTCCCCCATGGGGCCCAGGGGGAAGGGCCAGGGGCAATGCCCCCATCTAGCGTAATCACTCTGTGCGGAGGAAATTGCCTTTCTGAATAAAAGCTCTTTCGGAGTGATGGCCGACAGGCAGGCACCCACTGCCTGCCTATTTTTGGTCTCCGCTGCTGTGTGCATGTCTCAGGGAGTTGGGGTGTTTACAGAGGTGGCAGAGTAGGGGGCCTGGGAGCCTGCTCCCCCTCCCACCCCGTGTCCTGGGGGTGGCAGTGCAGGGCAGCCCAGAGTCACCTCTGAAGAGAAGCATGGAGGGGACTGAAAATCAAACCTGCGCCAACCCACACCCACACCCCCGGGCCCGGCTCCATCCGGAGTTCCGAGCCCAGTTGCCCCCTTCCTCCCTCCCTGGGAAGGAGACTCGGGTCCCCCAACCACTCCAGGCTCCCCCCACCCAGCTCCCACCAGTGATGGACCAATAGCTCATCCGTGTGCAGTTTTTGTTTTGTATTTTCATAAGAGGGGCTTTCTTCATCCACGGGACCCTGGAAATGGGTGTGGACCCTCCCCACCCAGGCCTGGACGTCCCTGGAGCCCACCTGCTCCAGAGGACAGCTATCCCCATCTGCAGAGCCCCTTCCTTATCCTTGTTGAGTATGCGAAGGGCCCCTCTGAGGGAGCCCTGGTGGCACAGTGGTTACAAGTTGTGTTGTGATCCGCAAGGCCAGCGGTTCAAGATCCCCAGACACTCCTTGGGAGAAAGCTGCGCTTCCTGCTTCTGTAAACCATCACAGTCCCAGAAACCCACAGGAGCAGTTCTACCCTCACCGGTAGGGTCACTGTGAGCCAGCACAGTGACAGTGAGTTTGTGTTTTTAAATTTTGTTTGGTTTAAGTGACCCCACGTCTGAGCCAAGCCTAGGAGCCTGGCTCAGAAACCAAGCCCCCTGCCTGCAGCCTCAAGCCAGGGGTCCCCCAGGGGCTTGGAACTCGATAGACAGGGAGTCTGAGCTGGATAATTAAGGCTCCTGCCGGACCCCACCACTCTCCCTGCAGCTGACAACGGGGGCCTCAACAAGAGAGCTGGTTTTGTCTCCCAAAAGAAGCTATTGCAAACATCCCCTGGACCTGGTTTGAACAGGGTTTGGACCACACACCTCACAGTGGACCACTTGGCCCCCCCACTTGGGAGAATATGGTACCTGGAGGGAGCTGAGGATGTTCTCTGGGTAGCCTGCCCTGGGCCACACTGGCTCCTGCCCCCCGTCCTGCTGAGGGACACTCATATCCTCATGGTCACTCTGGTCACTTTCTCCTGGGCGAGCAGTCCCTCGGGTCCTTGCCTCTGATGGTCCACAGCAAGGCTTTATTCTTACTTGAGCACCGGCTGCCCTAGGCTCCACCCCTCGGACTCCGCTTCACCAATTCTCTCTTTGACTGTGTCCACCGAGGGCTGACACTGACTGGACCTTCTTCTGTCCACACGGCTGGGTTTGGTTCTTAGGTAGTCTCCTTTTCTTTCTTTCTTCCCACATGCAAGGGCCGTGCACTGACTCCTGGGCAGGAGCCAGGCTTGTTTCACCGCAGCAGTGTTGTATTCCAGCGCTCTAAGCCTGCAGTGATGGGCTCAGGCATAGGAACACTTGTGAGGATGAGCCAAGACAAGGGTGGCGAGGGGGTGGGGAGAATTCACTCTGTGGTGCACGGGGTGGCTATGGCTTGGCACCGACCCAATGGCAACCCAGCAACGGTGATGGCAGAACTAGGCACACCTGTTTTCATCTCGTTCTACAGCAAACCCACTGGCCCACCCTCCTCTGTGGGAGCTGGTTGAAGGAGCGTAGGCCCCTCTTGTGCAC